TGACAGCTTGCAGCCTTGGCGTTCTCTTTAACTGCCTTCTCCCTCATTACCAAAACAAATTAATTGCTAAGTCTTGTCAGTTTTATCTGTACCACATCTCTTGTATGTCTCCCCTTCCCTCTACTCACAGAGCTACCACCCTAGTTTATCAACTGCTGACCAACTGCCACCAATAAGCAGATAAAGCCAAGAGCCCCTGCGAGTGGCTGTACCATAGACTATGGTCCTGCTTCCAGCCTAGCTTTCATACCCATCATAGTGGAAATCTCCATACAGAAAATTTGGCCTGGCAACTGCTTCTACCTACTACTGAGAACTCTTCCCACCAAAGTCCTTTGCACTGTCTAATGACTCGATGTAAGAAAATGACAGGATTTTATCAGTGGAAATGACAGTAAAGGTGATGCATTACCATCTGCTTTGCCACAGCATCTTAAGAATCATGAGACTTGTCCAACTGATTTGCAGCTGAAATCTTCTATATGTGTTGTCTTCCCTATTAGAATGTGAGCTCCTTGAGAGAAGGGGCTGTGTTTCATTTTCCTCTGTGTGTGTTTTTGTGTGTGTTTGTGTAGATCAATTCAACTGACATTTACTAAGCCTCGCCTAGCATTGTGCTAAACCCTGGGGGATACAAAGAGGAAAAAAACTTCACAATCTCTGCTCTAAAGAAGCTTACAATCTAGCAAGGGAACAAGAAGTATATATACATATAATTAATCAGGCGACAAAATAATGGAAAATAGCAGCTTATCACCTTCTGCTGGATAATAGAAATTTTGCTGTAAATACAGCCATACAATGCTTTTATTTTTTTGCTTTGGGCAGAGTTAGTGTTCTTTCCGTTCTACAATCATTCCTAATTAATTCAGTAGGGCTCGGATTACACACACACACACACACACACACATACAGGTACAGACATGCATATATGGGTTTCCTTCTCCCCCATCCCCCAAGTGCATTTGAGTTTTTGGGACAAGAGAAGTAATGACAGGACAGAAGGCCAGAGAACATTTTTTGGATTCCTGTTCAACCACACCAGGGAGCAGCAGATGACCATAAGCACATCTCTACAAGTGACTTAATTACTTTGTTATCAAGAAAAGGAGTTTTCAAATCAGTGCAACAGGCTCAAAATACAATGTGTCCCTAAAGCAATATGAACAAAGAACAGGGGCTTATGATGAAGCTCTGCTCTCGATCTGATTCTTTTTCTGTCTGCTTGCTCCATTCTCAACTCTTACTATACAAATGATAGTAATGAATAAAGAGGCCAGACACTTCTTATTTACCTCTAAATAAAAGCACATTTGGGGCTAATGAATATGTAACCAAGAACAATAAATCCTGCTTTAGCTTGGAGAGACTTTATGAAAACAGGTCCCTTTGGGTCAATCAACCAAAAAGCACTTATTAAATATCTATGATGTGCTCGGCACTATAATAAGTACTGGGCATATACATATAAATGAAATCATCCCTTACTTCAAAGAGTTTACATTACATTGGGAATACTTAATACTAGTGCCTTCCCTCTGGGATTACCTCCATTTCATTTTGTATGTCTCTTGTTTGTATATAGCTGCTGCCTGTTGTCTCCCCCATTAGAATGGGAGCTTCCTGAGGTTGGGGACTATTGCCTTTTTTTTTTTTTGCCTTTCTCTGCACCACCCCCAGAGCTCAGCACAGCGCCTAACACATAAGTGCTTAACAAAAAATGCGTGATGATGACTGATTGACTAAGATAATATGCATGTAAATATACACAAAATAAATATAAGGTAAGTTTTTGCAGAGTGGGTACTAGCAATTTCTTTTGGGAGGGAAGGATCAGGGAAAGCTTCACACAGAGTGCAGTACTTAAGAGTTTTGCAGGAAACAAAGGATTCTAAGAAATACTTTATAACTGGCATTAAATGAACACTGGTGTTGTCAGCATAAGAATTTGGATGATTCATGCAATTCAGTTATGGTACATAAGAGCCAGCATTATTCTGTGGAAAGAGTGTCGATTTGAAGTCAGAGGGCCTTCAGTATAAATTTACCACCTGTTTAATCTCTCTGAGGCTCAGTTTTCTCATTTATAAAACAAGGGGGTTGCACTGGATTACCTCAAAGATCCTTTCCAACCCTAAGCCTATGATTCTAAAAAGGGAAAAATCCTGCTGCATTTGTTAATGTAAAAAGTCCCTCAAGGTTAGGTCTAAGTCTAGTGGGAGTGGTTCTGTCTTTGGCAATGTGGAAGATTCTTTAGAAAATATTTTCCCCCATGGTATTTTTATTTTTCCATTTCCAAGGCCTTATCATGGCATGAATGTTATCTATAATTCTTGAAGACTATATTAGCAGACTGAAAGCTCTTGGGAGTATTCTGAAGCTTGAAAGACTTTGAGGATAGACCCATTGTTGGCCCATCAACTGGGACCACTTCTCTTTTTTCTCTAGGTGTTCTCGTTGGTTACCATGGACTCAATCTCTCTGCAGATGACTTGCAGACCTACATATCTCGCCCTCATCTCTCTCCCAAGTTCCTGTTCTCCATTGCAAATTGCCAACTGTATATCTGTCTCTACCTATATGTCCCATAGGCATCTCAAACTTGACATGTACAAAGTAGAACTCATTATCTTTTCCCTAAAACTGATCCCAGCTCCAGACTTCCTTATTTCTGTCAAGAGCACCACTATTCCTCTAGTTACCCAGGTTCATAATCTAGAAATCACCCTTGACTCTTCATTCTCATTTGCCCTCATATCCAATCAGCTGCCATGTGTTCTGAATCTCTGTCTCTCTACTTACACAGCCACTACCCTTGTTCAGGATCTCATCACTCCTTGCCAAGACTACTGCAACAACTCCTTAATCGATCTCCCTACATCCACCCTGTCCTTTCTCCAATCCATTCTGCACTGTGTGACAAATTAACATTCACAAAGCACCATTCTGAATGTTTTACTTCTCTGCTCATGGAACTTCAATGGCTTTCTGTTGCCTCTGGGATAGAATACAAACTCTACTGCTTGACCTGTAAAGCTCCTCACAGTCTGGTATCATTCTATCTTTCCAGGCTGATAACACATTACTCTCCTTTCTACCCTCTATGTGTCCTTGATGTTATCTGTACATGACATTCTATCTTCTACCTGAATTCTTTTGCTCCAATGGGGAGGAGTTTGACTCCTCTATGAATGATATAGAAATGCCTATTCTCTTTGTCATATATCCCTACTACATCATTGAGTATAAGAATTCTAGGGATGAAACTCTCTGGGTGGGTAGGGGAGAGTCAATGTTGGAGAGGTCGTCATCCAACTACTATCCTAACAAAATATAGTTTGGACAATGCTTTGTAAAAGATTTAAGACAAAGCTGAAAATTAAGAGTATGAAAAAGAGAAGATAAACAGGTTCCATATTTCACTGCATTACTTGAAGAATGAATTTATTAATAAGATGTAAGGGACCTGAACACAGAAATACCTTTATTTCCATACTTCAAGGATAATGCCATCTCTATAGATACTCCTTCCACTAATGCTAGTCAGGATCATCTTTAACAGGTCGGTTTCTACCAAACTATTCATCATCTTATGGCAAACCTGGTATTGAGATTCTTCAAACTGAGCTAGGCTGATCCTCAGACAACAGATACGTGGTCCATGATTAGACTTATACTTGAGGCCTTTCCAGGCTGGGAGGACCAGCTAGAGCTTGCATTCCACTAGCTCAGATTTCAAGAACTTAGGGTCATCTCCATGCCATGACAAGGAACTGGAGCAGGACTTTGGAGGAATCTGTGGTACAAAAATGTGCTTTATAATTATAATTTATTATAATTATTATTAGAAAGCTATGTAGAAATGAACTAGATTGAAGAGGTTATTATACTTATATACATATACAAGTATATATTATACTTACATATACACAAGTACATACACACACAAGCTTATTATACTCATTGAGTTGTATTTACAAAGCAAGGCTTGTGATTCCTCCATGATGGGCTTTGACATTTACTACCATAACAGCCAGAAATAAATAGAGACAGAAAAGAAATAGTTTGGTTTTGTAAGGTAGATTTTGAGACAAAGAATCAGACCAAGAAGAATTTAGCTGTGGCAGAAGACAGAGCAGCAGAGAAGATCCACATAGCCAAAGACTGAGATGGCATCAGTGGGGTAGTAAAAATGAGAGGACATATGCAGTCAAGAGCAGCAATTTTCAGGTAAGATATGGATTAAAAAAAATAGGAACCTAGCTGAAAGATTCTGATTGTTATGATCCTCCTAGATGAAATACACTCATTTCTTTATTAAAGAAGTATTTATTGAGTGGTCAATGTATATAACACTGAACAGAGATTCAAAAGAAATATAATAAAATCTTTTTCTTCCAGGACCTAACCAGTCTAACTGATGTACAAGACATGAATAGATAAGACAGGTAACAATTCAAGACATTACATCATTCAGCATCAAAATAAGTGCTATATACAATAAGGATTGTGTTTTCCTGTGGAATTAATCCAGAGGTTCATACTTTAAACTATTTGCTAAGGACTGAAACAATACCATTGGTCAGGACAGAAGACTTAAAACAGTATCTATTTAGAAACCTATTCAAAAACAGTATTAGCTTAGGAAACACAGTGACCTGATTGAATGAATATGAGGTAATATACTAGTCACTTTTTCCAATATTACCCACCCAAGTTGTAGGCTCAAAGAACATGAAATAGCTTAATTCTGATGTTAAATGGAATAGTATTTGTACAAATTCACTGATACGATAGGACAATGAGTTTAACTGTTACACCATGATCTATTAACAAATAAAAATCAAATGACTTTAGCACATGAAATCTATAAAAAGGTCCCTCTAAACCTTCCCCTTGAAATAACAGTTGTAATAAAGGGGGAAAAGGTGGAAAAAAAGCTGGAATTTGGCCATTCCAGGGTTATCATTAGGGCCATGATAATCAATCTGTGTCTGTACCTGTAAGCCTGAGAGCTGAGTAGCTGATTTTCCTCGGAGGCACAAGGTCTGAGCAATAAAAGCATTTAAGTCCTCCAGGGAGAAAGTATCCACCTGCAAGAAAGAGGGAAAATAAAATCCTAGCTCTAAGCTATGGGGAAAAACATATCACATCTTCTTGAAAACAGGCTTTAATTTCCATATGCGATCATATACATACTCTATATTCAGAACTTTATGGCTAATAAAATGGATGCTAGCAACAAGGAATATGGATAAAGGTAAATATAGTCCTAACTTTCCCAGCTCCAAATCTCAGGCTCCATGTTATATACATTCTCTCCTGTTACCCACCTGATTCAAAAGGCTTTCAGGCTGTTCCCCTTTTTCCTTTTGGCTTCTTCACCAATAATGCTGGCAATCTGGGGGTGAACCTAGGTTGACCTTGAGTGTCCCAATTAAATTCTTGGACCAACTCTGCTCTAGTCCAACCTGAAGCCTCAGGGTCGACCTTAAAAACAAATCAGTGTTCCAGGGGTGCTCCAGAATTAAGTTTATTCACAATTGGGCTAGACCTGCTAGAATGAATCAGCTTGACTCTTTCTTCTCCCCCTTTTATCTAGAACCTGACCTACATGCCCTGTGGATGTTAGTTTGGAAGCAAATCATCCTCCCAGAATGGTTAGCAAAATAGAATTTATTTCAACTCTGTCTCTTTTGACACCTGGCTGTTATTTTGTTTCTATATTAAGAAGAAAAGCAGCAAGGTGGTTCAGTGGACAGAGTGCTAGACTTGGAATCAGGAAGAACCAAGTTCAAATAAATCAGCGTGTCAGACACTTACTAGCTATGTGATCTTGGGTAAGTCCCTTAACTTGTTTGCCTCCTTTTTCTCACCTGTAAAATGGGAATAACTGTAGCAATGACCTCCCAGGGATGTTGTGAGGACCAAATGTTGTCTTTTTAGGTCATGTAATTTATCTCTTTGAATTTCAGTTTCCTTGTCTATAAAATGAGGCAGTTGGGCTTGTTGGCATCTAAGGTCACTTCCAATTCCAAATCTATAATCCTCCAAGTTAATGTAATACTGGGGCAGCTAGGTGGCACAGTGGATAGAGTACCGGCCTTGGAGTCAGGAGGACCTGAGTTCAAATCTGGCCTCCTACACATAATACTTACTAGCTGCGTGACCCTGGGCAAGTCACTTAACCCCACTGCCTAGCTAAAAACAAAAACAAACAAAAAAAACCCAAGTTAACGCAATACTGATAGATATGAAGTTTTAGATTCTGAAGGGCCCTTGATGTAGCAACTGCTTTCAGCAGTAGTCTCTCTTCTCACTGTTAACTGTCTTAATACTGAGTGGGAAGTTTTCTTGAGGAGACGAATGAGGAAGGGGCAAAATTTGAAAAAAAAAAGAGAGATGCTGTGGGCTCTATCATTCAGTACAATTCAACAAACACCTGTGAAGCAGGTAAGGCACTGCGCTAGGGTCTAGAGAGACCAATACAACAGGCATTGGTAGAATGACAGACCTACAGGTTTGGAAGAGATCTCTGGGCCAGTTACTATACCATACCTGACAAATGGACTGGGACAAGACTGGCCTTTGTCCAATCTTGTGGCCCCATGATCTTGCAAATATTTCTGACAGTGGCTCAGTAATCATACCTGCTGGTTGTTTCAGCACCTGAGGCAGCTGGGCCAGGTGACTTGATTCATCAAGGGCAGTCAGGTGCTCTCTTACCCTCTCCTTACTTAATATGGGTATCAACTCCCTGCTAGTTATTTAGTTTTGTCATTTCCAATGCAAAGAGCCATCCTTGACCTCAAAGAGCTAATATTCTACTGGAGGGACACAACATGTACATAATTTTGGAAACAGAAAGTAAATGCAAATTAACACAAAATAATTTTAAGAGGGAGAAATTATTTTGGTTAAGAAAACTTCTAAATGTTCACTTGCCTCACACAGTTCTTGGAACTATTCACCCAGACTGACCATGAAGCTCTGCTAACTTGTGAAGTGGGGAGCCCCTTCAATTCCTCCCAGGGGAAGCCACCAGAGCACCCTCTTGCAAAAGAATTCCCTCTCATCATAGATAGATTGATTTTGTTTGTTTTTAATTAAGAGGTATTCAGTGGCAAGGTAAAACATAAGTGAGGAAGAAAACTCATAAAAAGCACCCATCTATAGCAATTTGAAGGCTAAAAATGTTTAATATGCTCATTCCCAGACAAAAATAACCCTACCATAAATCAGGAAGACTTTTCATTAGGGACTCCTGCTGACCCCCACTATGAAAAACCTCTTCCCTTGGGAAGGTCTGCTAAACCTTGCATAAAAGAAGGTAGGGTAATGGATATCAGGAACAGTGTAACATTGCAAAGTACTTTTAGCATTCATTATCTCCACCCCAGCGGAAGGTATTGATTGGCTGCTAAGATCTGATAATATTCTTTCCTACCCCATCTCTACCCTCTCCTATTTTTATTCCAAGGCAGGTGTCACCTTTGTGAAAATGACAGCAACTATAATTATTTCAGGGAGGAACCGAAAAATCTGCAAATGCATATATAACATCTGTGGCCAAGAAAAAAAATCAACCAGAAAATACTTTCTCAAATCAAATAAGCCCTCATTGCTCTGAATTTAGGCTAAACATGAGTTAGCTTTTAATTCTCTTTTTTGTTTGTTATCAGCCAATTTCACAAAATGCTGATTTAAAATATCAACCTGGGCAAAAAGGAAAACTATTTCACATATATTTTCTTCTCATCAATTAAGAAATGCCATATTTTACCTATACTCTTGTAGTTACATAAAGTTTAAACACAGAATGGGGTCTCAAAGATTTTACTATCAAATGGGATAATTTTAAAGCACTTAGCAGAGTGCCTGGCACGTAGTAAGCACTTTATATGCATTAGCTATTATTATTATCACCATTATTCAAATAATATCCAAATTTCCACACTGGTTGATATCATTGTTAAAAGATGCATGCTGTGCCACACTCAGAAACAACGTAAAATACATACATGTTGTTGTGGTATAAGCATGATTTTTCATAAGCTTTTTTTGTGGAGATCTTTAAAAGAAATTCTCTTAATATGTATGACCATGAGCAAGACACTTAATCTCAATTCATTAAGAATTATGCGTGAGTTGAAGATCTGACTTGGTAGAGGGAGCTTCCACACTGAAAGTTCCCTACATTGGTGAACTAGGGTCTCACCTTGGCTCCCCTCCCCCATTATTGTAATGACTGATGTTTTAGTCAACTCAAGAAGTTGATAAAAATAACTAGCTTTTTTTAATACTTTCTCCTAATCTTAGCAATATATAATTTGATTTCAGCATCCACTTAATCTTTGAGCTAACAATTTTTAAAAATCAATTTACCTTTTATTAATTATAAGATAGTTAGTACTTCACCCTCATGGAAAACAATGCACCTTCCTGACCTAAATCAATACACTGATTTAGTAAGTGTAGTTATGATCTTCACAAAAATTTGTGGTTTTAAAAAAGTATGCTTCTTATTTTTATTACAAAGCATTTCTAAAAATAAACTCTTAAGAAAGGTAATCCACCACTGAGCCTCTTATACAGCAACTCACACTAAAGTGATTTTGTTTAAAAGTAAATTTTAAGTGAAAACAACAGCATAAGAGATAGAACTTTTTTTTCAGTTCCTTGTCTTGCTTCAGACATGTACAAGTTACAGTTGAGAAACTGTTATACTAGTATCTTGGGCTTCCATAATAAAGCTAATTTTAATTATATTATGTAATGATAAAAATCCTAAAATCCCATTTAAAAAAGATCTGGCCATTTTTAGTTTAAGGGGTTAGAGCATGGTGCTAATGAATTGAAATCAAATATCTAGACTGGTTAATTTCACAGAGTAAAATTATGTGGCATGGCCACATACTGTACTACTAACTATATCCAGTTGTCTTACAAATGCCTGTCCATTTAGTCATAAGGAAAACAACCAAATTAAAGAGTTTGAACCATTCCACACAGTCTATCCCTACGTCTGGAATGACAGCTCCAAGTGTTGTTCTGTTACTCCTGCTGCTGATGGATAAGCAGCATTATCTTGGCATATGAACAGTACACATATGCATTTTTCATGAGTCAGAAGAGACTGCTTATTCTTTTTTTTTTTACCCTCTTCCAAATTTCCATGAAAGCTCACCCAAAGAGACTTTACTTTAGTAAGTTGTAAGGTTGGATGCAAAATATGAAATACTAAAATATAAACATATAATACTGACATGGACCTAATATGCATTTTATGTACAGGTTGATATGCATATGCACAGTGCTTATGTTAATACATATTGTAGGCAAAACTGCAATGTAAAAGTTAAGTTGATACAGCTATACTTTCAGAAACATGAGGTAATTGCTCACTGCCAGTATAACTTAGCTACTGGATCTAATGCCCAACTTGAATAACTTCCTTTAAATAAAACTAGTAATCTGTAAAGTGATTTTAAGGTAGTGGCAAAGAAGAAGTGTGCTTTTAAAAAAGCCACACAATTCTGAAAAGATCATAACTATATTTAATAAATCATATTGATTTAGGTCAAGAAGGTGCATTTTTTCTCCATAAGGGTAAGTACTAACCATCTTATAACTAACAGAAGGTAAATGGATCTTAAAAAAGTTATATTAGATATTTTAAGTGAGCTCTGAAGTCAAATTATATATTGCTGAGATTAGGAGAAACTATTAAAAGACTAATTATTTTTATCTGGTCTCACTTTTTGAATTAACTGAAACAGCTATCATTATAATAATATGAACCAATAATATGAGGTGCTGTTACGAATAATATAGCAACCAAAATTCTAAATCATTTAATCCCTACGCCCCTCCCCTGCAAACACTTAAATATTGAATTAAGTGATTACTTCTAAGATATGTAGGGGCAATGGACAATTAGGAAGGAAAAACCAGTACAATCTAGTTACTGGATCTAATGCCCCATTTGAATAACATCCTCCAAAGAAAATTGGTAATTTGTAAGGTGAATTCAGGGTATTGGCAAGTTTATATAAAAAACAGAATTATATGACTTTCTATTACAATCAAATGAGAATTTAATGGCTATAACACAGTAATATTGTCATGGTCAAGGACCAGGGGAGTTGACAAGGTGGCTTGAAGGGGTCATGAGAGCTGATGAAAACGTCTCAATAAGCCACAAGAGCAGATGCTTGGGGTTTTTTTTGTTGTTGTTGTTATGACAAAGTGAGAGACGTAAAAACCTGCTTCAAAAAAAAACCCAGCTGAGATGCTGAACAAAAGAGAAGCAGGCATATGCTTTAATATTTTCTTTGTTAAGATGCCTAAAGAGCTTGAGTGGAAATTTTATTAAAACTACAACCTGGATGACTTCCCTAGAGTCTGGTTTATGGACATATGTTAATGCTAAAAATGTAGGAGGAAATCAACTAGTCAGTAAAAAACACAACATCCCACAATGTAATATTCCATAAGAATGAAGGCCCAAAGCAGCTCCTAACATTGGTTCTCAAAGCAATCTTAGATGTTACCTGCCAAAGGAGGTAGATCAAGAGACAGCACAGGGCTGCAAGAGAGTTTTCAAGAGCCTGAAGTTCTTCTCTTTCATTCCAAAGGTGAAAGCAGGCCAGGAAGGTGTTATAACGTTGGGCTTGTACCTCTGCATCTTGGCTCAGCCATAATGTTCTCAAACTAGGTATTCCACCTATTTGAAAACAAGTCCATTTACCATTCTTCTCAGAACTAGCAAGCTAAAGCTTGCGTCTTCCAGAAATATAATGAAAGGAAATAAATCTCTCATTCTGGACTCAGTGCTTTATAACTTGCAAGAGCTAGAAAATGAATTTTTCAAGATCAAAAACATGCTCTACTCACAAGTATTTCATTGAACATGATCACTTTTTTTTTTTACAGAACTATTTACTCCTGAAGAATATTTATTTCTGTTAATGCCTAAATAGGTATATTTAATAACATTTGGAGTCTCCATAATGTTTTCCTCACCTTTTTTGTTGAAGGTGGGGAAGAGGTATTGGGAATCTGGACTGGTATGTGAGGCTCACTCCATGAATGCAGATCTGTCTGGGCCCCTAAGAGGTTAAGTCAGTTGCCTGTGATTGCATAATCATGTGCCAGTGGTAGGACTCACATCGTGGCGCCAAAGCAAGATGGTCGTAGGTAGTTTGACATACTATCTTTCAGGGACCTTCAGAATGAATCTCCAATCACAGATGTGATGAATACAGAGATCAAATGAACTCCAGTTACAGATTACCTGGCATCAGAACTAAAGAGATAATTTCTGGAAGTCTGCCTTGTTAGTTCTAACTTTTCTCTCCTGTATCTCCAAAACTTTAAACCAGGGATGGGGAACCTGTGGCCTCCAGGCCACATGTGGCCCTCTAGGTCCTCAAGTGTGGCCCTTTGATTGAATCCAAACTTCACAAACCAAATGCCCTTAATAAAAGGATTTGTTCTGTAAAACTTGGGAGTCAGTCAAAAAGCCACACCTGACGATCTAGAAAGCCACATATGGCCTCGAAGCTGCAGGTCCCCTCCTCTCCCTGTTAAGAATAAACTATTACAAAACCAGTTATAATATGAAATTTTCAGCAATACACTTGTAAATAGAGATAGATCATCTACATTGGCAAACAGACCATACACATCAGATAAACATATTATATATATTTATATCACATACTATACAGAAATCAAAGAGTGAAATAAAATGTTTCCATTTACATTCTGCAGGAACCACTACAAACATCATTAAGTACCAAGAACATACCACATTCAGTTGTGTTTGAAAATTCCAAATGGAGATATTGACATAACAGAGCAGCTTCTGTACTGCGGCCATATTAGAGCCATCTTGCTTTTGCTTGTTGAGCAAACAGAAAGGTGCCAGTTTTAAGATCAGGCAGATTAAGCTGTAATTGATAACACATCTCCGTTTATTAGAAGCAGCTGCAGTCTTCAGTTAGAAACACTTGGCCATAATAAATGGTTAAAGTGCTATGATGCTGAGATCTAGATGTTACACATGTTTACTAAGCAAACAAAATCCACTAACCAAATGGTACCAGAGTTAAATCAATCTAAAAAGAAAATTCTTCTACTTTCTTCCTTTAATATCTACAAATTTTATTTTAATAATCTCAGCAGTACATTTCCTCACCCCCCAAAGCCATTTGCAATTCTGAAAAGTCAGAAGTGTTCCTTTTACCAAAGAAATTTTTTCATTGTTCATTTGGCAAAACTAAAACAAGGGGGTGTATTTTCTCTTTTTTCTTGAAAAAATGAGACAAAATAAAGGAAAAACTAAAGACAAAAAGGGAAGAAATTACAATGGTACATAGAAGATACAGAGAAAGTATTTAAAAATAAGGGTCCAATGTGATTTTGTAGTAATGAGGTCTAATAGTTAAAAATCACAGAAAAGAAATGACAGATGCTTCATTTTTTTCAATCACTTTAAATATACCAGGCAAGGCATTTAAGAACCAATTCCTATTATGAGGAAAGGATGGCTAGGAAATGGAAGAATTTTATTCTAAAAGTGTAGAGATTAATAATTTCCCTTTCCTTAAAACTATCAAAACTAAAAAAAAATTCAAATCCTAAAAAGTATGTTTGGTACCATAATTTAAAGAATGCTAGGTTTGTAATAAAAAACAAACCCAACCCTTGGGTTCAAATCCCAACCCTGGTACTTATCTTTGTGTAACTTTGGGCAGGTCACTAAATGTCTGTGGCTCTTAGTTTCCTCATTTGTACAATTAGGGGATTAGACTCAAGTCTAGGACCTCTAAGTTTTTTTTTTCTTTTTTTTTAAGAGCTCTAGATTTATGATCCTATAGGCTTACTGTTCCTCCTGTGTAGAGGAGGAAAGATTTTTCTTTTCTTTTCTTTTCTTTTTTTGTGAGGCAATGGGGTGAAGTGACTTGTCCAGGGTCACACAGCTAGTAAGTGTCAAGTGTCTGAGGCCACATTTGAACTCATGTCTTCCTGTAAGGTCTTTTAAGAGTATTATTGTAACCATAGAAGACAACATTTGCAAATGTGATCATTGGAGTAGAGTAGGGACTATCCTTCATTTCCACAAAAAGAAAACTGGATCATTAATATTTAGAGTTAGAAGGGATCTCAGAGATCATACTTAGATGTAAGAAGCAAGAGACTTCAGGACACTAGTAAGAAATTTATTTCTATAAGGTTTTCAGACACTGGTGAAAGTTCAGTTATCAAACAGTTTTGCTTTCCATAAATCCAGATATCCAGTTTTGCTCATTTTCCCACTGAATGGACTCATTACAAAATTGTGCCATCATCTTCACTCCCCAGCCATCTCACAAACTACCATGCCACTTACACCAGAAAGCAAGTTATGGATCTCCCCCTCTATCCCCCCAACCCCCCACCATCAGTGGTCGCCTTGACTGTTTGTTATATCTAGAACCAGCTCCAGCCATGCTTTACCCCACCTTCCCCAAACATCTTTTCAGCTGCCACACCCCAACTCAAGTTCCCCTTGTCTGTCACCCTCCTTCATCTTCTAGTTCTGGAACCACTCAAATGAACTCCATCATTGCTCTTGGAAAGGGTGTGTCAATCTACTCTCCTATGACTCCATTTAACATCCCTGTAACTTTCCAAACCAAAATATCCTTTCCTGGCCACCACTCCTTTTTATGTGTTCAATTTCCCTGTTAGGATGTAAGGTTCTTAAGGGCAGGAACAGTCTTTACTTTTTAAATTTGCACTCTCAGTTGTCATCATAGTGTTTCCAATGAAGGAAGTATTTAGTAAATACTCCTCTCCCTCTTCTTCTTTCTTCTTTCCTTCTTTCTGACATACTTTTTAGAACATACCTGAACAAAGTGATTGAAATAAATATTTTTCTGGAAAAAAGCCAGCACTATCTTATTCACCAGAACACAATATAATGTATGCTGATTTTTTTCTTCTTTCTTTTCATCTTAAAAAAGATACTACTTGTTAAATATGGGAAGGATAGGATGAGGGATCCTGGTGGACTATAGCGATGTAAAAAAAAAGACATCAATAAAAACTTATTTAAAAGAAGGAAGGGGGACAAATGAAACCAAAAAAAAAAGGATCAAAAAGAAGCTAAGATTTCAGGTTTGAAAGCCTTATCTTTTGTGGCAACGTAAATTCTATCAAATTATATTGCTTCTAAGTATGTTATCACAGAATTATATGACAAAAACAGGAGATAGGCTGGTCTGGTACATGGCTGGAGTAAGGAATGACAGGTAGATGGTCAGTGTGCTCCAATGCAATGTTAGAAGTTGAAAGAAATAGAGAAAGGCCTCTAGAATGCTGAGTGGACTCCTGTGTCCAACTTTCAGGAGGAGTTGGATAAGAATCACACAAGGATGGGCAGCCATGGATGGGTTGTAATCTGCAACCCTCAAGAGAGGACTCCTGAATCAATTTTATAACAGATCCATTTGAGTACATTCAACAAATATTTACTAAATGATAAGTCAGTCAATAAGCATTAATCAAGCTATTACTGTATGCCAGGCACTGTGCTATAGTCCCTACTATGTATATTTGTTTAAGAGCTAAGACGTCCAAATAACCATGACACAACTGTATCTGAATTAAGTATTAGGTAGGAAAAAATCATTCTTAAAGCAATCTTTTCTTTTTTTTCTTGGAGGGGGAAAAGATGTCGTAAGTCCCTTAGAAGGCACAGATAACTCTGAGTCCCTAATTATAACACTGCCTTTCTTTATGAATGGTATAAAGAGTGGTGTCACTCTCAAACAGAAATGGGGGCCACTAAACAGTATATAAGGATCCCTGTGGGCTATATATCAACATAGTTTTTAAATGTAATGTTATCTATGTTCTACTGTATTTTTATTTTGTTGAATACTTTGAAACTATATTTTAATCTGGTTCATCCATACTTGGAGTGTTATGGTAGAACAAGGCCTAAGGGCTTTGTGTTTGGCATCTACGGTATAAAACACCAACACTTAGTGATTTCTGGTCTCCCCGGTTAAGATGATCTTGCTGTTCCTCTACCTAAACACTCCATCTCCTGACTCCAGATACTTTCACTTGCTATCCCCCATGCCTGCAACTCTCTGCTCCTTCATCTCCACTTCCTACCCTCTCTGGTTTCCTTCACATCTCAGTTAAAATCCCACCTTCTCCAAGAAATTTCTCCCAATCCCATTTCATACCAGTGCCTTCTTTGTTGATTATCTCCAATCTGTCTTGTATGGAGTTGCCTGCATGTAATCTCCCATTAGACTATACGTTTCTTGAGGGCAGGGGCTGTCTTTTACCTTTCTTTGTGTCCTCAGAGATTGGCACAGTGCTTGGTCCATGTTGTTGTTTTTGTTGTTTTTCAGTTGTGCCTCGACATGAACCGGTGGACCATACTGTCCATGAGATTTTCTTGGCAAAGATACTGGAGTTGCTTTGCCATTTGCTTCTCCAGTGGATTAAGGCAAACAGAGGTTAAGTGACTTGTCCAGGATCGCATAGCAAGTAAATGTCTGAGGCTGAGTGTTTGAACTTGGGTCTTCCTGACTCCAGGCCTGCAGCTCTATCCACTGAGCCTTCTAGTTGCCTCCACAATTCTTCCTTTGTCTGTATTAACAGTATCCACCATCTTCATTAGGATGATAAGTGATTTTCTTTGGAGTTATCTGAAGATAG